GTCAGATGAGAGGAAGTTAAGGTGCCTCCAGATGCAAGAGTCATGGTCCTGGTACCTAGCCTGTGAGGGTGTGGCTCTGATGTTAGGCAGAGCAGGATCTGCACATTAAGGGTGTCACTGGGTGAGTGAAGGTTAGGGCTGCCCATGCTTCTGGTCACCAGGAGGCTGTAGGGAAGAAGGGAGGATCCCATCTTCCATTTCATCAGCCTCCTGTGTGCCTGGCTACTGTCTGGATGGATTGCTGTTTGCAAAAGTTCAAGATGATCTTGCGATATCAGGCTAGCTGACAAGTCACCAGTCTATTTACCATCCCACTTTCATTCAGCTTCTTCTAGTCAACATTCGATCTACTTCTCTATTCTTTCCTCGGAGTTCCAGGATTACTATCTATCGGTTTCCTTTGATCTCTCTTGTCATTGTTGTAGTGAGTCTGTGTAGCATGTCTTCCCAGCTCACCATCTTGCTGGAAGTCCACCCGTAAAGTTTTCTAGGTGGTCATCTTTACTAGAGGAGATCACCAACTTTCTCCTATGGAGCTACTGGCTAGGTTTATTTTGGTTAGCAGTTGAGCACTTAATCTTTTCACCAGCAATATTAATGCAAAATGCAATGAAGATAGTCTAACCAACTGGAAAGCATGTTATGGTCTAAACTCCAGCCCTGTGAAGCCTTCCCATCTCCACTTCACTGATCAGAAAGCTGAGGAATCCAAGAGGTGACTTGGTCTCTCAAGGTCTCATAGCTAATGAGAGCTCAGACCTCTATTCTTCATAATATGTAATAGTTCAAGAAACCAGGTAACTTTCCATGAAGTCACTTTGTAATTATTCCTTAGGGCTTTAGGACTCTTTCATTTAACAAAGCTCCTTCTAGTGTGTTCTTTACCTCTGACCAGCCTATGAAGAAAGCAGGTTGCTTCTGTTTTGCAGGTGAAACTATGGAGGCAAAGAGAGGATCTGAGTAGCAGAGCAAGGCCACTCCAGTAGTAAGTTTAGGAAGCAGGGTTGGCATCCTCTGTCCTGATTCTTGGTAAGAGGCAGAGCCAAGAGTTGAGAAGTGGAAGATGGTACCAAAGGGATACTGAAGGGAAGTGTCAGGGTGTGGGAGAGCTAGAAACAATTCTTGTGGAAACAGGGAAGTTGGAAGAGGCAGCAAATGGGTGGGCCTCTAACCAAGACCGCTGACAACTTGAAAGAAAAAAATTCTGAAGGAAAGGAAGTATTTTAAAGTTGCACAACAAATGATTAAAACAGATTTAAAAAAAAAAACACAGGAAAAGGAATGGCTCAGCACAAAATAATCTATTCAAAGTGGTTATTTTGTCATTTGCAATTTGTATTTCTCTTGGAGACAGAGTCGTTGGAGTGAAGTGACCTAAATAAAAGTCTTTCTTATTAAAAAACAGGAGCTTTTTTTAGGCCACAAAAGAGTAAGGCAAGAACCGTCCAAAGTCTGGGGGAGGGATGCACAATAACTCGTGCTGCTTACTGTTTCTTGGTCACACAGCTACTCCCACACGAGTTACACTTTGACTTATCAGTCCACTGATAACAATTATGGCATGATTCTCCTTTTGAAACTTACCCAGATACTAAAAAGTTATAATGACTACTGCCATTTATTGAGTGACTATTATCTACCAGTCATTGACACTGCTATGCATATATTATCTCTAATTCCCATGAGAACACTGCAAAGGATTTATTATTTTCTTTGTTCCACTTATGAGGGAATGTCCTCAGAGAGGTGGAGCAACCTACCTAAGGTTACTCAGCTATTATGCAGTTGAGCTGGTCTGTCTGACTCCCTGACTTGTGAGCTCTTTTATTTGACCACATAGCAAGTTATCTGTGCGTGACTTTGGACGATTTATATATACCCCCTGAGACTCAGAAATTTCTGAATCTCAGTTCCTTCAAGGAGTTCCTCTATCATCAAATCAGCAAACACTGAAACTACGCTATACTGCTGATTTAATCATCTTTTCAATGGAAAAATAAGGTTCAGGAGATCAATTCTAGAGACTCTAAATTAAGTTTGCCTTTCTCATAAAACTTTATCCATAATATGCTTAGTTTTTCTGATTATATTATAGAGAAAATCATAAAGGACAATTTCTAAGTAGTATCCTGGTAGATGCTGTCAATCTGAGCTGAGCAAGAGCCCTGGTCTCCAATACGAAGTGTCACAGAGTGATCGATGTATCTTCTCAACTCTTTAAAGCGATGTTAAGATATTTGAAGAGACCCAAACCAAACACCAAACTCACTGGGATCCTGTTAATTCTGACTCACAGAACCTGGTAAACCATAAATTAGCATCTTTTGAGGGCAGATCTCTAAGGCTCAAAAACACACCACATTCACTGCCATCTAGTCATTGGTAGCATAGAAGGTTATGAGTTGGGCTGCTAACCACAAGGTCAGCAGTTCAAAACCATCAAGGGCTTTGAGAGAGGAAGATGAGGCTTTCTGCTCCTATTATTCTCTTATTAAATGACTTCTCAGAATCTCCCAGAATCTACTCTGTTCTATTGGTTGATATGAGTAAGCGTCACTGGGGCAGTGTAGCATTTCAGATCCTTTGTACTATCAAGGATGGAGTTGTGGTGGCACTGACGGGAAAGTGTTGGGCTGTTAACCGTCAGGTAAGTGGTTCAAATCCACCAATCTTCAGGAGAAAGATGAGGCTTTCTGTAAAGATGTACAGTTTTGGAAACTCTACCCGGGGTCACTGGGAGTGGGAATTCTCCCCATGGCAGTGGCTTGGTTGGGGGTTGGTATTATTAAGAAGTATTGGTGACACAATGGGTGAGTGCTCCGCTGCTAACCGAAAGGTTAAACCCAACAGCTTCTCGGAGGGGGGAGAAGGTGTGACAGTCCAATTCTGTAAAGATTCCAGCTTTGGAAAGCCTATGGACAGTGCTGTTCTGTCCTACAGAGTCACTATGAATTGAAAGGGACTCAATGCCTACACATGTGATCTCAGGAAGGAAGTCTTTGGGTGGTGCGAATGGTCAGTGTACTTGGCTGTTAACCAAGAAGATGTTTCAGTTTACCCAGAGACACAAGTAAGAAAAGTTTGGCAAGCTACTTGGTAAAATCATCCATTGCATACCCTATGAAGCAGAGTTCTACTCTGACATCCCTGGGAACACCACGAGTCAGAATCAACTTGATGGCAATGGATAACTGGAATTGTTAGCACTCTTTGATTCCCTAACCGCCTCTTAATCTATTGATAAACACCTCTTGGCCTGGGCTCTGGGAATCTGCACTTAACAGGGACTCTAGGTGATTCTTAACACCTTTAACATTTAGGTGCATACCATGCAAAATATTAATGGAACACATTAGTCTTAATAATCACTTTATTTTCATTTTAACAGGTAAAATCTGGCAGCATCTTTGACAATTTTCTTCTTACGAATGATGAAGAGTTTGCTGAAGAGGTTGGAAACAAAACCTGGGGAATAAGAAAAGTAAGGAGCTCCCCCACTCTGACTTCCAGATGTGACTCTCCAGCTAGTTGCTCACAGTTTCTGCATTTTCTAAATCTGTTTACAATCATTGTCTCATTTACTGATAGCGTGACCTAGGGAGGTAGAAGGAACTCGCATTCTTTGCAGTAGACTCCGTAAGCACTGCAAAAATTAGCCCTTAAAAACTAAGGAAGGTAGAGACAATACTCTAATTTTTTAAATCTAGGAACTGAGATTCAGAGGTTTCTGAATTCAGAGGGTATATGTAAATCACCTGAGGTCATTCACAGCCAGTCTTTAACTTGTTGCTTTAGAATTTGAACCCAGAACTCATGCTGTTTCTGTTGTGTCCAGAAATGAAGCCACTGAGCCCGTTTCTGACATCGGTGGCTTAGAAGGAAGTTGATGGTGTTGTTTTCCCACCCCATGGCTCCTCCAGGAGTAATTCTTGGGTGGGGTGGTACTTGGAAGGACAAATGGTGACATCCTCCAGTCCAGACTTCCTGGTTCTGCAGGAAGACTCAGTCAAGTAGGTTTAGGACCAGTACTTGATTACCCAATAGGTTGAATCAGTACCCTACTAAACCAAGCCAAACTAAACCCACTGCCATCGAATCAGTGTACTAGCTAAGCAAGACTAAAAATCTACACCTGCTCCCCCGAGTCTATTCTGATTGATTGCTGCTGTGGTTGCTGGGTGCTGTTGAGTTGGTCCATCCCCTCGAGGGTCCTCCTCTTGTTTGTGATCCTCCCCTTTACCAAGCATGAGGTCCTTTTCCATGTTTCTCCTGAGAGCATGTCCGAAGTATCTGAGATGGTGTTTCACTAGCCGCACTTGAAAGGAGCATTCTGGTTATAGTTCTTCCAAGACAGATTTGTCCATCTGATAGCCCACAGCATCTCCAGTGTCCTTCACTCATATCACAATTTGAAGGCATCAGTTCCTGGGGTCTTTCATTTACCTAATGCAATGTGTCGTGTGATTTCTTGGCTGCTGCTGCCATGAACATTGATGGTGGGCCCAAGCAAGATGAAACTCTTGACAACGTCCATCTTTTCTCCGTTTATCATTATGTGCTCTACTGTTCCAGTGACGAAGATTTTGGATTTCTTTACACAGACTTGTAATCCGTAGTGAAGGTCCTGGATGTAATGGGAGGAACATGTAGAATAAAATTCAAATTCCTAAATCCAGCTAGACTGATTGGACTGATAGAGACTAGAAGATCCCCTAAGACTGTTGTCCTAAGATGCCCTTTGAACTTGGAACTCAAACCACTCCCAGAGGTTACCTTTCAGTCAAACAATAGATTGGTTTATAAGTAAACAATATGACCCATAAGTAATGTGCCCTTTTGAACAATCAACTATATGCGACCTAATGATCAACAGTTACCCCAAAGCAAAGATGAGCAGGCAAAGAGGAGCAAGGAAGTTGAATCAATGGGAACAGAATAAACAAAATAAAAATGAGAATGCTGAAACATTATGAAAATGGTAAATCAGCATCATGGAAAATTAGTATAAAAATTGTATACCTGATTTGATATACAAACTTTCTCTAAAACACGATATTTTTTAAAAGAATGGAAGAAATACAGTATACAAGAAGACAGTTGGCTTTCAATGGATGTAAAGACTGAGTATATAAGAATGAATGCAGATATGTGGGTAGATGTGGTAGAAGGGGAATGTGAGAATGCATTCTATAGGAAGTAGTGCAAGATAGATTTAGAAATGTAGAGAGCCTATTGGGGGTAATACCCGGGGGAGACAAAGTGCAGAGAGAGCAGGACTAGGCAGGAAAGTCTGATACCTATAAAATGAGAACAGGAAGGGAGCAGGCTGAAAACAGCTCTCAGAAAACCTTGCCATCCCGATGGAGCTACAGTGGGACTACAGAGACTGCTAGAGGAGGAATCCCATGTTGGAGAAGGCCATGTCCTCATATCCTGCACCATACTCCATTGTTGGTCCAAAGACTGGCCTGAGTACAAATGCTGAGGTGGACCCCCAGGACCACCCTGCAGTCAGGTCACTTCACTCCCCACAACTGAGTAGTAAGTTCTTCCTCTAAGGAGATCTGAGCAGTGAACAACCATGGCCGCCACGGAGTATGAGGGACATTTCTTTTAATTAAGAAATAAGAAATACTGCCAACCACTTAGAGTGAGATATGTTGGAAGTTTGAGAAGAGAGATGAGGTTAAAAAAAAAACTTATCCAAGAAGGAAAGTGAATCAAGCACAGAAATATCATAAACTCACTGACTTGCACCAACAATTCACTTGAGTTCAGCTATCATGAATTTACAATAAGATCAATCAGTCTGATCGCATAATATTCTTTAACTATTTTTCCACTAACGTACAGCCATGGAGAGTAGAGCTAAACTAGGGTTGAGGGTTTGAAAACTAAGGGAACGATGGGCAAGGGAATTGAGAGTGTTTACAAGGGAGTGACTATGATAGACAATAGAATCTAAGCTGGACAAAGAGAAAAGTGGTCGTCGAGTAAAAAAAGCTTCAAAAGATTGAAAGTCCTGGTGGAGTGGTGGAGCTGGTGGAAGTGTTAGTCTGTGTTTACCTTTGGCAAGAACAGTTTTGTTAAAGACTAGATGGAAGCAGATTGCAGTGAGCAGAGGAATGAGAGGGAAGAGAAGAAGTAGACAAGAATGATAGCCAGTAGACCAGAGGAGGTACACTGGTACAGATAGGAACTGAAAATAGAGGGAATCCAGGACGGATGAGCCCTATAGGACCAGTGGTGTGAGTGGCAAAACAGGGAGGGTAAAGGGAGAATGGGTAGGAAAGAGGGAACCG